CAGGGACACCTCCCACTAGCCCAGGTTGCTCCAAGCCCTGTCCAACCTGGCCTTGGACACTTCCAGGGATCCAGGGTCAGCCACAGCTTCTCTGGGCAACCTGTGCCAGGGCCTCCCCACCCTCACAGGGAAGGATTTCTTCCCAATATCCCATCTAACCCTGCCTGCTGGCAGTGTGAATTCCAAGGTGTTCCCCCAAACTCCTCTCTTACCTTTGCCAGTGGCCATGGGAGCAGTGTCCAGCCCTGCCAACATGTCCCGAAGCACGTGGGTTTTGACGGCGTGGCTGGCCCAGAGCTGCTGCAGGTGTGTCACGTTGAAGCCCTGCACCTCTGGGTCGTAAAGCCACTGCAGGTCTGGGAACTCGCAGTCGTACAGGACCAGGGGGAACTCGACTGCCATGCTGGGGACAAGGACAGGAGGTGAGCCCACAAAAAGGCTCAAGAACAGTGGATCTGCCACAGCCAGCTCTGCCCTTCACAGAACTCCCTTTCCCAATAAAAGCTGACTTAATTTTCACCAAATACCAAGGAGTAAAGCCATTAAAGCTTTGTCTGAGAGCAAGACAACAGAGGTCCTTATGGACACATCCCAGGCTGGCAGCCTACTTCCATGCTGGGAGACTGCTCCATGTGCTGGCAGGGACGTGGCTCGCCAGCAGCACTCCGGGTGCAGCCATCGCTCCGTCCGGTTTTCCAGAGCAATCCCTACCTGTACTGCGGTTTCCGGGGGTTCTTCTCCACGTCCAGCAGTTGGTCGATGATGTCCGGGCTCTCCATGCCCTGGCCGATGAGGAAGAGCACGGCCATCATGCAGCGGACCTGGTGGTACAGGAAGGCCTGCCCCGTCACCTCGAACTGGCACAGCCGGAAGGGATCCCGCGGCCCGGATTCTCCCCCTCTCTCCACCCACGTCACGCGGGCGCTGAGGATCGTCCTCTGGAAGTTGAGCACCCCGTTGGCCACGTCCATCTTGCAGAGGTTGCGGAAGTCGTGGGTGCCCACGTAGCGCTGGGCGGCGCTGTCCATGAGGGCCACGTCCAGCTGGGCGCAGGGGAAGAAGTACCGGTAGGTGCGGCGCTGGCAGCTGAAGCGGGCGCTGAACTCCGGCGCCACGGGGGCCCAGGCCAGCACCCGGATGTCGGGGGGCAGCACCCTGTTCAGGATGTGGGTGTAGCGGAGCTCCTCCCGCTGCCCCTCGCCCGCGTGCCCGTTTTGCTGCTGCCCCTCCGGTGGCAGGCTGGAGCGGAGATCCAGGGAAATCACCTGCAGAGACGAGTAAAAGCCGGGATTAGAGCGCGGGTGGATGGGCGCAGCGGCGTGTGGAGCCAAGTCTTCCTACACCTCTGGGAAATAAACCCAGGATCTCCTACAGATGAAGGTGGCTTCAGTCGGGTGATCCTGCCATGGAGCTGCGAGTGCCTCTGCTGAGGAGCCGAGCAGATGCCACAGATTCCATTAATAAAACAGGCAAAGTTGCAGGCTGCCTACGTAGCACGGTCTCAGAACAGCTTCAACTTTAGTCACTGGGTTTGGGTTATAATGTGCTTTTTTTTTTTTTTTTTTGAGCTGGAGGTGATGACTTGAAGGCAGTAACAGCCTGGCTCGCTTGGAAACCTGGTGTGGGAACAAGTTCATTCCCATTGCGGGCGCCATGTGCTGAAACAGCACAAGAGGAGGCACCAAGTGCCCTGATTTCGTGCGGCTCATCCTGCCATGGAGAGCAGAGCAGCCACTCGAGGCCAAACCTATGCCAGCTCTGCTTCCTGCACCAGGAGGGAAGGAAGGAGAGCGGCCCAATGGTGAAGCCACCACGGCTGTGTTCTCCCCAATGGCTCAGCCAGCCGGGTGGCTCCGTGCCCACCGAGCAGGCCAGCTCCATCCCCTCCCTCCAGCTCCCACTCCCACGCTCCCTTCCGCTGGCTGCAGCTCCTCTCAGACCCTTCTGTGCAGGAATTCAGCTGCCTGATGCTGCAGGAAGGGAGCCAATTTCTGGGGTTTTTGGATTTTGGTGGGATTGGAGAGTTAAATCAGCTGAGGGCCCTGCCAAAGACAGGGCATCGCCCCTTTTTGGGCAGCACTGAGCTACTGGAGAAGCTGCAGCCTAAACCATGTTTTATCCTCCTAAAGCAGGGCCCCGGAAAAGAACTTGAACTAATATGGGGGACAAAACAGCACTAAAACACTTCAGGGGTCTGAAATAGTCTTTCCACATGCAGGACAGCCATTGCCAGGCTCACTTCCAGGGGTAAGAGCTGATGGCTTTTAAAGAACAAATCCAAGCTGTGCTGTGGGACAGCAATCCCACTGGATCTCCATCCCACCCGGGAAAACCCACAGGAGATGCTGACCTGCCCAAAGGCACTGACTCCCTTGTCCGTGCGCCCGCAGCGATGGTAGTTGGAGGTCTCTCTACTGTCCACCAGCCGTGTCTTCTTCAAGGCTTCAAAGAGCTTCTCCTCAATGGTGTTGGGGGTGTTCTCCTGGCTGGCAAAGCCCTGGTAGCCCCAGCCCAGGTAGGCGATGCGCAGTGCCACGTGTCTGCGGCCGTGCGCGCTGAAATCGAAGGGCCTTTGTGGGCGTTTTTTGGCTTTCCCGGGGGCCAGAGCAGCCTCTCTCCTCCCAGTGCCCTCCTTGTCATCCTGGAGCTTCTCCTGCAGCCGCTTCACCTCCGCTTCCAGCTCCTGCACCCTCCTCAGGAGCCCCTCGTGGTCAGCAGCCGTGCTCTCCTCAGCCATAGCCACTGCCCCGGAGCATCAGTTTGTTGCTGGTGGATCCTTGGGGTCTGCAGGGAAAGAAAAAAATGGTGGATTTACATTTTTATGTGGTTTTTATTGCACCTCTAGGCTGGCTCTGCAAAATAACCTTTATCCACGGAGTCGGTTTTTATCATCTGAGCCCCACCGTGTTCCCAGCAGGGCATGGGCAGGGCCATGGGGGCTCAGCTCGGGCAGCCTTCATCTCACTCCAGTCTCTTTTTTTGGAGTCTTTAATCACTCCTCTTCCCCCAGCCGATGGGATCCGCTCCGTCAGCGCAGCACGTTCCCGGCGAGCCGTCACGGAGCCTTCTCACTTTCACACCTGCATCCCGCTGCAGACAGCGCGCTGACGGCTGCCACTCATCCCGCCCCTCCATCTGCTCCCGCCCTTCCCAGCGCCACCAGGGGCTCCTGCAGCTCTTCCAACCCGCCTAAAGATATCCCAAGCCTGTGCTGGGAGTGGGATCTGTGTCCAGATCCCTTTTTGTCACAGGGCTAGAGGTTTACTCGAGGTTTACTATCACCAGACTCATAAGCAAGCATCTAAACATGCTGTGCTGAGCCTCCTCCTCCTCTGCAGAAGTAGAACACCCTCTCTGATGTCCCTGGATTAAATCATGACTAAATAGTGTGGATTTAGAAGCACAGGTACAAGTGGAAAACCATTAATCTCTCACCCGGTGCACGGAACTTGCCCTGTGTTTGTCAAGCAGGGCTTAACTGACCACATAACTAATTCTAGTGGAGTTTTCCAGCAGGAATTAAGGGCTTGTGTTTCTGCTACTGTAGGGAAGAGCCTTCTGCTGGTGGCAGGAGGTTCAGCAGTGCTCTGAAAACATGCCCAACCTAAATCAACACCCCTGAACCCAAAACATTTGAGTCTCGGAGCCCCCTTTGACACCTTTAGCCAGCTTGAACATGCTGCAAGACATTAACCCTGGTTTCTTTTTCTGCAGAGTCCACCCGGTTTGGTGAGAATCATGGAGGGGACATCAGGTGCCTGGCCGGGAGGCAGCGAGGAGCTGGGGCGTCCCCGTGACGACCCCTACGCCGATGCCTCCATCGTTTTTGGGGCACAGTCAGACCTTCCAGTGCTTTCTGAGCGTCAGAGGGAAAACAGGAAGTTGGTGATGAAGAGGAAGGTGCTGAGGCACAGACCCGATGGAATGGTGGAGATCTTTGATGAGTCAGTGAACAATGAGCCAGGGTGCAGTGCCGAGTCCAAGTGCGGTGCCGAGCTGTGGAATACGGAGCGTTCCAGGGTTTATATGGAGGACACCATCTCCGAGGGGGAAATCAGCAGCGAGGAGCTGGAGGAGTGCATGCCCTGTGATGATGAGTGGCTCCTTGAGGACAGCCCCTGCTCTCTCCTTGAGGATCTTGGGAGACGGAGCACGTCTCAGCACTCCGCTCGGGTGGGATCGCCTACGTCCTACATTCTTCCGCAGGTTGGCAGACGGAAGAAAACCGACCCAGTGGCCAAATTCCACGGATACAGACAAGACTGGGAGAGATACAGCTTCCCGGGGGAAGATCCACACGATGATCTGCGCTGGGCCGTGCGGAGGCAGATGGCCCAGCCGGGAGAGCTGCGCCGGGCACCCAAGCGCCTCGTGCCCAACACGTACGTGGTGCCCACGACCAAGCAGCGCGACGCCCTGCGCTTCGGCGTGCGCCGGGACCTGGCCCAGTGCCTCATGCCCCGCAAGGACGCCTCCTAGAGCCACAGACCCCTCTCCAGCACCACCGCTTTCCCCTCCTCAGCATCCTCCATCGCCTGGAAAATCCCCTCGCCGCGCTCCAGTTCTGCTGTGGAGGAGGTTTGATTTGCGATGTCTCGGCAGCGTCTTTTCCTTTAATAAAGCATCTGCAAACACTCCTTATTGTTCTGTGGGTTTGTTAGAAACTCCACAGGCAGCATCTGTTATTCCAGACTTATCCCTGCTCCACCAAACTCTGCTCCCTTGGCCTTATTTTACCTCATTTTTAAAATAAGGGAGCTTTGGGATGGAAGTAAGGTAGTATTAGTGTTATTACCATTATTAGCCTTAATTTTTTTCCCAGGTATAGGGATGGACTGAAAACATGGCAGTTCTGGCGCAGGAAAAAGTCCCCAAAAGCTGAATGGGATGGCTGGAAAAGGGAGCGGGGAGGACAGGACACAGGTGACAGCTGCAGCCTGGAGCTCTCTGTCCAGCTCCCACCAAACCTCCTCTGAATGTGATCCCAGATGGGAAACACACAGGCCTGTGTGGTTACCCCACACTGGGGGTGTTCTGGCACCCCA